CATGGTCTTTTCATTCACTTGCTATGCATCTGAGAACTGTTCAACAAATAAAGGTGACAGAAGAATCTATACTTTTGAGTTGTGGTGTTGGAGAAGAGTAATGAATATCCCATGGATTGCCAAAAGAATTAACAGATATGTCTTGGGAAAAGTGCAGCCAGAGTGCTTGTTGGAGGCCAAGATGGTGAAGCTTCATCTCACATACATTGGGCATGTGATAAGAAAGACAATTCTTAGGATATCATGCTTGGAAAGGTGGAGAATGAAAGAGAAGAAGACCCTCAACAAGATGGATTGACTGACTGCATCAATGGGCTCATGTGTGCCAGAGTTGGTGAGGATGGTTCAGGATAAGACAGGGTTCAGATGTGATGTGTTGTTCATAGGGTCACTATGAGTCATACTCAACCTCTAAGACACAGGAACTCCCTAACACTACTATGCTCCTGATAATTCCATAATACAAAATTCCAACTTCTTTGGGCTTTGAGAAACAAGATTTCAAGAACAGAAACATTCTAAAGGAATTGTATTCAAGGAAAATGTTATTTCAGCATGCAGATACAATTTTTTTTGTGTGTAATATGAATCTTTTCAAGTTTACCAAGCAGGTGCCTTCCAGATATCTTGGCATAGACAAGCAAAGGCTGCCAACATGATATCCATTTGTTGAAACACTTCATTCCTTCACTTTCTAGAGTCTTGAAAGAATTTGTTTGCTAATTTGTCTTGAGCTTTTGGGCCAAGACCTTCAATGCACCTTGGGCTGCTTCTTCAGTTTCAGCAAGCAGGGTTGTGTCATCCGCATAACGCAGATTGTTGATAAATCATACACCAATCTTGACCCCACATTTCTCCTCATAGAGCCCAGCCTCCTGGATAATCTGTTCTGCATATAGGTTGAAAAGGTATGGAGATAGGATGCATCCCTGGCGTACGCCCTTCCCAATTTTGAACCATGCAGTGTTCCCTTGCTCTGTTCTGACGACTGCCTCCTGGTCCAAGTATAAGTTTCGCATTAGAACGATCAAGTGTTCTGGGATTCCCATTCTTCTCAGAGTCAGCCATAGTTTGTTATGATCTACACAGTCAAATGCCTTTGCATAGTCAATGAAACACAGATAGACATTCCTCTGGTATTCCCTGCTTTCAGCCAAGATCCATCTAACATCAGCTACAATATCTCTAGTACCACGACCCCTTCTGAAACCAGCCTGGATTTCTGGTAGTTCTCTGTTGATGTGCTGTTCCAGTCGTTTTTGGATAATCTTCAGTAAAATCTTGCTTGCATGTGAAATCAGTGAAATTGTTCTGTAGTTTCCACCTTCGGCTGGGTCGCCTTTCTTTGGGATAGGAACAAATATCGATCTCTTCCAGTCAGTTGGCCAAGTGGTCGTTCTCCAGATTTCTTGGCACAACTTGGTGAGCACGTCCAGGGCAGCATCTGTTAACTGAAATATGTCAATTGGTATACCATCTATTCCTGGAGCCTTATTTTTGGCCATGTCCTTCAAAGCAGCCTGAACTTCTTTCATCACCATAGGCTCTTGCTCATATGTTGTTTCATGAAATTCTTCTGTGTTTTCCAATTCTTTTTGATACAGTGACTCAGTATATTCCTTCCATCTTCTTTTAATACTTCCGGGATCATTTAACGTTCTGCTGAAAGCATTGTTGATAAATCGTCCACCAATCTTGACCCCAGATGAGCATAATTAAATATTCTGGGATTCCCATTCTTTTTTTTTTCTTTGAGAAATGCAAATGTTTATTCACATCCTTCTTAATGTTAGCCACAGTTTAATATGATTCACATGGTCAAATACCTTTGCATAGTCAATAAAACACAGATAAATATCTTTCTGGTATCCTCTGCTTTCAGCCAAGATACATCTGACATCAGCAATGATAGCCCTGTTGCCACAGCCTCTTGTAAATTCAACCTGAATTTCTGGCAGATACTGTTTGAACTATTGTAGGATACTTTTTAGCAAGATTTTACTTGTTTTTTAACAACCAGTTGTTTGGTAACCTCCACATTCTGTTGGATCACTTTTTTTAAAATCACCTTTTATTAATCAGATTGCTGTCCTAGTTTCCTGGCTCAGCCTTGTGGGCATGTCCAGGACTGCATTTGTTTGTTGAAATATTACACTTGGTTTTCCATCAATTCCTGAGGCCTTATTTTTTGCTAATGCATCAATGCCATTTGAACTTCATCCTTCATCACTATTTGTTTTAAAAATCATATTCTACTTCCTGAGATGGTTCTATGTCTTCCAGTTCTTTTTGGTAGAGTGACTCAGTGTTTTCCTTTCACCTTCTTTTGATGATGCTTCCTGAAGCGTTGGGATTTTGCCTATGGCATCCTTCAGCACTTTAGATTGAGGCTTCAATTTATTTTTAAGTTCTTGCAAATTATTCCTTTTCTGTTTTCTAATCCAGCTCTTCTCACATTTCATAACAGTACTTTTGTCTTCTTGGGTTGCCCTTTGAAATCTTCTGTTCATCTTTTATTTCAGCCATTTCCCCCTTAATTTTTGCTTTTCAACTTTCTAGTGCAATTTTCAGAGACCCTTCGGACATCCATTTTGGTCTTTTCTTTCTCCTTTTTCTTCATAATGACCTTTCTTCATTATTAATATCCTTGATGCCATCCCACAACTCATCTAGTTTTCAATCATCAGTGTTCAATATTTCAAACTTGCTCTTGAGATGGTTTTTGTGTTCAGATGGGATAGATTCAAAGTTGTATTTTGGTGCTTATGAACTGGTTTTCATTTTCTTTAGCTTCAATTTTAACTTGCACATGAGTAATTGATGGTCTGTTTCCCAGTCAGTACCACACCTGGTTTTAACTGCCTTTATTGAGCTTCGCCAATGATTCTTTCCACAGATATCATCATCTTGATTCCTGTGAGACCATCATATGGGGTCCATGTGCATAGTCACTGCTAGTGGTTTTTAAAAACAATATTTGCAAGGAATAAATCACTGATTGTACAAGGTTCAATCTTTTCATCTCCAGCCTAATTTCTGTCACCAAGTTCACAATTTCCAACTACCAGGCCTTCTTCTTTGTTTCCAAATTTTGCCAGCAAGGGTAATAAAGCAGAAGTTAGAACATATGAGTGCTAGGTCCATTTTTACTTCCTCTCACTTTCTATTGTGACTTGGACAACTCACTCACTCTACGGAAATATTTTTCCATTTATAAAATGGCATAATATCTGTACTTGGAAGCTCTGGTGGCCTAGTGGTAAGGAATTATGTTGTCAAATCAAAGGCATGCAACTGGATTTACCACCTCTGAAAACCTGCTGGAAGGTGAGCTATAAGTCAGTCCTGACCCGACGGTACATAAGAGCAACAATATCTGTACTATATACTTTATGGGTGTTCTGGTGGCTTACTGGTAAGAAGCTGTACTTCAGTCTCAAAGGCATATGACTTGAAAACACATAAGAAGAGCCAGGAGAGGGAGATTTAACAAACTTTAATACTTTAAAAAGTATTATTGGAACAAAAATTATTGGAATCCACCAGCTGCTCTGTGGAGAAGAATGAGCAATTTCCTTTCTGTGTGATTTACTGCCTCTGAAAACTCACTGGAGGTTCAACTATGGCACACAATAACAACAACATACCTTCTCAGGAGCCCTGATGGGGTTGTTCTTGGAGATCTGGGCTGTTCACCCAAAGGTGGTGCTGCTCTGGTGCTTCTAACCTGCCAGCAGGACTCGGAATAAGGATGGGAAGTCTCCTCCCATTGCAATTTGCAGCCTCAGAAACTTGACAGTTACTGTGAGTAGTCATCAATTCAAAGGCAGTGAGTGAGGTCTTGAGCTTCCTATACCTCATAGGTTACTGGGAAAATCCAATGAGCTAGTATGTGAAAACACTTCACACAATTTAAAGTGTCATGGAGATGTTTAAGTTAGCTAGTTGCCATTTAGAAGATATAAGCTCCATGATAATACTTTTAAGAGTAGCAGTCTGTTAAATCTTCCTCTCCTAGCTACCTCAAGTGTTATTTGTATTCACAGCAAACTTCTCATGTATTCCAAAGTCATCATATGTGCCTATCAGTTTAATATCTCTAAGAACATTGTTCCTAGAAATATTGCTGCAAATGACCTGCAAAGCCCTCTCTCTTCCAAATATGAAAAAGGCTCGTGGGTTAAAAGTGGATATGCACTGATCTAAGAAATGAAGACTGGTAATAACACTGCCGTCTTATCAGAAGAGGTTAAAAAGGGAGCTCCAATCTCAAATTACAAGACATTTGGAACACATCACATTTTGTGAACCAAATAAAGAAAATGCAGTTTAATTTCCCAAAATTTATTAAAAATGGTCTCTGTCATCAGATATCTTACTGCAAAGATAGAATCATGCAACAGAGCAGTAAAATTTGCTCTAATATTAAATTTACACAAATATAAATTCTCTATGCTGTTCTTGAACTTGAGTTTTTTTGCAATTATGAAAAGTGTTTTCTTTTTATCCCGAGTCACGGACAAACATTTCTTCAAGACTTTCCATACATCACAATGGCTTTGAAGTTGTTAAAGCCAGTGGACTAGAGTGAGGGGTGTGAGGGCAGGGGATGTAACATTCAGATAAGTCTTTGAAAAAATAGAAAACAATTCCCAAATCATTTCTTAAGATCTTTATTACTTGGTAGCCGTTTGGTGTAAAAACTACCATTTCTCTTCCCCAAATCCTCTGTTCGTTTCTCTCTTGTTCTTTGACATTTACCACTCACTCAGTCAATTATAACAGCCCCATGGCAAATACAAAGTTCAAACTCAAAGGTAACTTTTCAACATATTCTATAATATCCTAAGGACGTACATGAATATATTTTTATAATTTTCCCTTAGCACTTTTATTATTATAACGTGTTGAAGTGAGTGAAGGAGCAGATTATGTCTAAGTGATACTGCTTTCTAATTGGAAAGATTTTAGAGTAGAGAAAAGTGAGTTTGAGAAGGGCATTATTCTTTTCCTAACAAGTTTTCCCCTGGCATTTTTGCATACACATATGTATCTGTTTTGGAGGGCAATGGAGGTCTGATAATACTTTTTGCTTTAGTCTTTAGCTCGACTAGAGCGGAACAGATATGTGACCAGTGGTATAGATATTCGATGACAATATTACCAAAATTCCATACTTCAATTCGGGAGTGATCTGCATAAAAAAAAAAAGATTGGATAGTTGTGTTACTGTATTATTGTGGATTTTCATTATTAAAAGTCTTTCTGTGTTCTGATTAAATTCTTCAGCTATGTTTTAAATTAAAACCATAGCAGAATCGTATTTAAATATTTACTTACAAGAAAACAAATAAACTATTTGTATACTAATAGAATATTACCCAGGGATTAACAAGAAGCTACACACATCATTATGGATACATCTCAAAAACATATTATTGAGCACAAAAAGTTGTGACAATAAAACAATTAGAACTTTAAAACAGTTTTAAAACTTCATATAGTCATAAACAAGTGGCAGAAGTGAGGAAATTATGCATGAAACTTATAAAAATCAAGTTAATATCTCTACAGAAGCAGAAAAGAGGATAGTATTCACAAGGGGAAGTAGAAAGCCTTAACTATTCCTGTAATGAAAAAGTTGCAAGGGAGCTCTGGTGGCTTAGAGGTAAGAAGATGCATTATAATCCCAAAGGTACACAGTTCGAATCCACCAGATGCTCTGCTGGAGAAGAAGGGGCAGCCTCCTCCTGTACCAGGCAGATCCTATTTGATGGTACACACACAAAAAATAATGATAAAATTTTAAAAAAAGTTGGGTTGAAATATGGCATAACGTTAAGGTTAGATACAGCCTGGCAATTACTAAGTAAGTATTGTCTCTGTACATATACAGTAGGGAGTTCTGGTGGCCTAGTGGCAAGAAGCTGCACTGCAATCCCAAAGGCATGCAGTTCGGGCCACCAGCTGCTCTGTAGATGGTACACAACAACAACAACATACATCTATATTAGAAGTATTTCCTAATTACAAATTTTGGAAGGAGGAGTGGCATCCACTTCCGTAATAGCTTGCCTCTGGAAGCTCTATGAACCTGGAGAGAGGAAGAAAGGCACCCAAGCATCGAGGACTGTCCTATAGGGTCGCTATGAGTCGCCTGTGACTCGATGGCACTTAACAACAACAACACAGTTACAAATTATTTTAAGATATATAATCAAGCTATTATATACACACACATTTCCTTTTACTGTGTTTCCCTTAATTGTGCTTCTCAGATTCTGTTTTTTCAAACAACAATTTGAAGGTTTGTGACCCTCTACATCAGGCAACTCCACAGGCGCCATTTCCCCACAGCACTTTGTGTCTCTGTATCACATTTTGGTAATTCTCACAACATTTCAAACTTCTTCATAATACTATTTTCCACTTCATAGATTACATTTTAGTGTAAACACAGTTTGTGCAGGCATTGGGGGAGGGGGGGAATTGTGTGACTAATTTTATTGCCATCTTTACTTTATTCCATGGTCTGGAACCAAACAGCGATATGTCCAAGCTCTGCCTGTATGTTTGTTTGTTAAATTGCAAACTATTAAACTGTCATTGGTAAAAGTAGGTTTTTTTCCCCTCCATGAGTCAATGACTAAGAATGATACAATGAGCAGAATAGATACTTTAGACAGATATGGGTTTTAATCTTGGCTCTACACCGAGTAAGTGTGCTCTTGACCAAGTCAAACGGCAGAACATATTTCCTCATCTATAACCTCAGAGTTGTTAATGAAGATCAATAAGGGGGAAAACCCCCATACAAAGATCTGTCACAGAGTAGATACTCAAGAGATGCTCATTACCTGCTGGTTTTCTCTGGGGTTCCCCTTCCCCAGGTCAATGTTTTAGTCATTTTTGCTATTCCTACTATCACTGGCATTTTGGGAAGAGTGTAAGGTCAGAGAAAGAGAGGAAGACCCTCAACAAGATAGACTGGAACAATGGGCTCGAGCATATCAGAGCTCAGGCTCAGGATAGGGCAAAGCTAGCTCTGTTGTCCATAGGGTCACTATGAGTCACAGTAGATTTGACAGCCCCTTGACAACAGCCCAGTTCCTAGAGCAATTGCTAAATTGAATGGAATTAAAATTAAGTTATAATCAGAAGAAGTTTAAATATCAAAGTCTTCCATATAATAACTCAGTAATCATAAGGAAAATTATGTCATTCACAGATACGTATCAGGGAACTCTGGTAGTAAGGAGCTGTGCTGCCAATCCCAAGGCACTTGGTTCTAATCCATCAGCTACACTGCAGGAGAAAGACATCCTCCTCCCTTGCAATTTATTGCCTCTGAAAACCCTCTGGATGGTTAGCTATGGATCACTTTAGACTCAGTGGGACATAACAACAACAGACATCTATTAGAATTACTCCTGACTAGGAAACAGGAAGTGTTTCCCCCTGTCTTCTACAGTTTTGCAAGTATTAGTCCGTAATAATGGAGGAAAGGAACATAAAATGTAAAAAAAAAAAATTTACACATCTCAATTTTTGTTCAAGGCTTAAAACCTGGCTACGATTAATTTTCTAAAACTCACTCACTTTGATAAACACACACACACCGACACTGTCTTTTCTCATTTAATTGTTAAGTGTTCAGTAGATGTTGAATTTAAACCACATTAAATTATGGAATAATTGAATTAGGTATTTCAAAAACGAAAAATCTTTCCAGATGAGAGGCCAGGAACATTAGTGACAATAATGAACAAAAAGAAAAACAGATGGCAGTAATAAGAGCCATTACATTAACAATACCCGATTCATCTTTTTTTATAGATAATTTTGACACTTGTATTCATTATAATTGATGCCTCTTTATATTAATTAGCTTCCTGGAACCTTTATAAAGTAAAATGCTATAGGTGTCCAAAGGTTATTTTGTTTATCTTTGTTATTGTTCCAATGTTATGAATCTAAATTAAATAGAAGTTCACCTTACGACACTCCTAAAATCAGTCCTAACTAATTCTTGAGACGTAACAGCTCTGCTACTTCTCCTAGCTCTTAATCTGTTCTTCCCGAAACCCCATTAAGAGCTGTCTGTTCCACTGACGCCTGCCGCAGTGTGCTTATCTGAACGCCCAAATGAGCAGACCCCTATCTGCAGCACTTTATTAAGCAAGTCGGCCTATCTTCACAGTGATTCAAGGACACGAGAGGCGGGGGCGACACTGCCCCCTTTGACAAGTCCCAGTTGCTTATTTCCTGCCTTGTAGTGAGACAGAAGTTCCGACCTCTCTGGGGGGCTGTTTTTGTTTCTTTGTTGTTTCCCAAGTGAGAGATGGAGGCGTTACCAGCCAGCAGTGCTGAAACCTTTAAGCGCTACTGCCCCCTTGTGGCGAAGAGAGACCAGCCCGTAGCAGCTGGACAAACGACAGAGCTGCAGGTTCAGCCTTTGATTCTATTCATTCAAACCAAACCCACTGTGGTTAATTTCTTATTCAGTCAACCTGTAGGACAGAGTAGAACTGCTCCCTGCGGTTTTCAAGGCTGTAAATCTTTGCAGATACAGACGGCCACATCCTCCTCCCAGCAGAGTGGCTGGTGCTCTCTATCCGTTCACCTTTCAATTAATCACTATTCCAGGAGGACCACTTGAGTCTGTTCCTGGACATATTAATTCAGGAACCTTTTTATTATGGTATTTTGTAGGTTCTAGTTTAATCAAACTTTTAATCACGTAGGGAATTAATGATCCTGGAAACATTGGGCCATTATAAGGTATCTTTAAATTAAAACTCCGTTTATGGGTCCCTATGTTAACTAAATTCAATTAGATTAATGAAATGAAATCATATGAGGATTATAGACAATTAGCAAAAAATGGGCAAAGCAAAAGAAATGGAGTATTTAAGCTTTTGGAAAAAGTTAAAGCGTAACTGCTCCTTGCAACTAATAAGGTAAGACTGGAAGTATTTCAGAAGGTTCCTGATCTTGCTCATTAGTTCTTTTGGCCTTAAAGCCGCCTCTGAAAACCAGCTAGAGGGGTCAGCTATGGGCCAGTTTGGACTAGATGGTACTCAGCAACAACTGCCATACAAAAGAGCTCCTGCAGCCCAATGGTAAGAAGCTGCACTGCAATTCCAAAGGCATATGGTTCAAATCCACAAGCTGCCCCCTGGAAGAAAGACAGGTAATCTCCTCCTGTGCAATTAATTGCCTCTGAAAACCCACGGGGTTGAAGTTGTTAACAATTTCATCTTATTTGGATCCACAATCAACTCCCTTGGAACCAGCAGTCAGGAAATAAAAAGATGAATTGTTGTTATGTGCCATCAAGTTGCCTGCAACTCATAGCAATCTTATGTACAATAGCTCTGAACCCTGCCCTATCCTGAGCCTCTCTGACTCTGACACACCCAATTCCATTGCCCTAGTTACTGTGCCAATCCATCTCATCCGGGGTCTTCCTCTTCTGTACTGTTCCTCCACCATTCCAAGTATGATGTCCTTCTCCAAGGACTGGTCCCTCCTGGTCAAGTGCCCAAATTATGTCAGATAGAGCATTAAAATCCTAGCCTCCAAAAATAAACTTGGTTTCACCCTCTCCAAAACAAACCTATTTGTTCTCTTGGTGATTCATGGCATATTCAGTACTCTTCTCCAGCACCACAACTCAAAGGCATTGATTCCTCTTCTGTCATCCTTAGTCATTGTCCACCTCTCTGATGCATATCAAGTAATGGCAAAGACCATGGCCTGGATCAGGTGGATGTTAGTCTCTAGACTGACATCACTGCTCTTTAGCACTTTTGAGAGTGTGAAAATTTATAGTCAAGGACCTCTCCAGAATGCTAAAAAGTAAAAGATGTCAATCTTAAGACTAAGGTGTGCCAGATCCAAGTCATGGTCTTTTCAGTTGCTTGCTATGTATCTGAAAGCTGGACAGTAACTAAGGATGACAGAGAAGAACTGATGTCTTTGAATAGTAGCACTGGATAAGAGTACTGAATATCCCATGGACTGTTAAGAGAAAAAAAATAGGTCTGTACTAGAGAAAGTGAAATCAAGGTACTCCTTAGAGGCAAGGCTGAGGAAACTGTCTCATATACCTTGGGCACATGGCCAGGAGGGACCAGTTCTTGGAAAAGGACATCATGCTTAGAAGGGTGGAGGGTCAGCATAACAGAGGAAGATCCTTGGTGAGATGGACTGATACAGTGACTGTAGCAATGGGGTCAAGAGTATTGGGGATGGTGAAGTTGACTCAGGATAGGGCAAGAAGATTCAGAGCCATTGATCATAGGTTCACTATGAGGCATAGTTGACTCAACAGCACATAACAATAACAACAACAGACATAGGAGACAGAGGAAAAGACTCGAGGAAGAGATACTAGCTGAATGACCTTATCTTTCAATTAATGACTATTATTAAAGCCACTTGTGTTTTTTTAAAATCAGTTACACAAAACAGAAAAAATAATTTATTCCCCTTGCATAACTCGGAACTGACAATGAAGGGTCTGTATGCACAAGAAATGGATCAAGCATCATCAGGCCTCTTCCAGACACATTCTGGGCTCCCTGTTAAGCCTACGTTCATCTGCAAGACGGCTCTTTTTCTACAAGTAGGAGCCACATGCCCCAAAACCGGGGCCCCTGTCCAAGGCAACTCAATCCAAGACCATTCAGGGATTCATAATCAAATCAAGGCCAGTGATAATATCTAAATGGTCCAGAACAACATGGCAGAACCATGGTCTTGATATCTTGCCATTTTGGTCTGTTTTAAAAAGCGTGTGCACACATAGTACATTTTGTGCAGAGTTGTATTCCTAGTTGCTGTTTCTGGATGGTTGATAGAATGTGGTAGAATCTTATGAAAGATTCCTGGTTTCAATTGTGCAGGAATGAGTGAAGAAAAGCATCATGTGCGTGTGAGCATGGGTGGGACTGAAAGCAGCATCTGAAAGGTAGCAGTAACGATTACGGGAAATCCTCCAGACTAGAGAAGAGGCCTGAGATCAAGAGTTAGTGAGGGTGGTGAGTCCAACAACCTTCCTCTCTGGTGGTGGGTTATTTCCTGCTACTGTTATCCTGGGAGGATCATAAAACAAAACGAACTCCCCACCCCAACTCATAGCAACCTGCTAAAACAGATTAACCCCTAGTAACTTCTGACTCACAGCCATCCTGTAAGACAGAGATAACTGCCCGATAGGGTTTCAATGGCTGCAATCTTTCTAGAATCAGAATATCAGTTTTCTCTCTTGCAGCAGCTGTTCTTTCAGTTAATAGGTGAGCACATATCCCACTGTGCCACCAGGGCACCCTAGAGAATCCTGGTGGTATTTTATTCAAGTTGGTGGGTGTCTTTACATATGGTGATGGAAGTAAGCTTTGGTAGAGGAAGAGCCTGGGCCCTTTGCAAGAGAAGTGCCAGACTCGTGCAACTCCTGCTCACCAACCCTGAGATTTTAGCCCTGGGGAGGAAATATTGCTACTTGTGGACACAGGTTTCTAACCCCTAAGGCGCTTGTGGCCATACTTACAATGAAGGACATGTTTTCTTGTCTCAAGGTTTGAGAACAATCCTAGCAAAGCAACATCTGTCCAAACTTCCTGGGAGGAGATATAGAGAGAGAATAAGAGGAGGCATGGAATAGAAAGGCAAGGTTGGCAGCACAGGTTCAAAGGCCGTTTCTCCAGGTAGACAAGTGCAACTACCAGGAGTACTTTCAGCAGAGTGACAGAAGAGAGCAGATTATTCATGTACAGCTGCCTGGGAGTGGGTTGGCATCAGTGGGTCTCCCGCAGGGCAGTACGTCAACAGCATTCTCATGCCATGGCACAGCTTTGGAAGCCAGGCAAAACTGCCCACCAGATGGTACATAACAAGTCTTCCATGGATGCCTTTCTCAATCTAAGGCAGAAGGCATAGCTACCTGGAGTTCTAACAGAATAGAGAATACCTCTCCCTGAAACTGTCCTAGGATGAAATGGAGAGAAAGTTGGCAGCAGAAGCCTTAAGAGAGTATAAGAATATCACCAAAAGTAACTCTGTCTTGTCAAAACCATTATTGTGGGACTTGGTAGTTTACACACTGTGTTACAGAGTCTGTCGCTTTCTCCTCATCCTGAGTAGAACCTACAGATACTGTTGATAATATTTCACACTGGGTGGGGTGTTGAAAAGATTTGGACCTTAGTTAAGGCTGCTGGAAGCCTTGAGTCAACTTTGAACAGACTACCCTGTTGAAGGACTCTTACACATCTTGCACAAAAAGAAAAAAGGTCCCAAAGATTTCCTCTTTATCACTCTGGACAGGGAGTTTAGAATTGCCAGCTGCAATGATCACTGAAAGGGAGTGGGTAGCCTGATCTCTTCATAGCCTACAAACTTGCTTGCTTGCTGCAAAGACATGAGCAACCTCAGGTTGAGTGGGCTCTGTTTGCTGCAGCTGGAATTCTTGCCACTTGAGGGCGCAATTGTAAAACAAAGCTTTGGAGATCAAGGCTGTTCTCTAAGTTCAAAGTATTGTTAACGTGCCATAGAGTCCAAACACACCCATAGCCAACCCTTCAGCTGGTTTTCTGAGACAGTATATCACATGGGAGGAGACTGACCATTTTTTCTCCATGGAAGAGCAGTGGATTTGAACCGCATGCGTTTGGATTGGCAGTGCAGCTCCTTATCACTAAGTCTACTGCTTGACATATCAGTCACAAAAGAAAAAGTGCTATTTAAGACCATCGTATTAAAAAGTGAGAGAAAAATTTATATACAGAGAGAATCATTCCATTTTGGTTTCTATGGAAAGGAAGAGGGTAGAAAATGAATTAATAGACTATAGATACTTTTTAAGATGAGTGACGGGCAAGACAATACTGAATGAATGGATTGTATTGTAATTGATTATGGAACAAAATGTGCATGAATGAACAACTGAAAAAACAATATGCTTTGTAAACTTTCACAGTGTAAATTTTTTTTCACAGTGTAAATTTTAAACTGTGTAAATCACAGTTTTAAGACCAAAACAACGTAGAGACAAGCAGAGAAAGAGAAGTTTTTGTATATTCTGAAATAAAAGAGCAGTATGCTAGAAGCCAAAGAGATTCCACAGAGACATTGGTGCAATGATGTAGAAGATGCCTTTGAGCTATGGGAGCTGGAAATTAGAGCTGAGAGCCAATACCTGTGAGTACCTGTGTGTGAGAGGAGCCTGCCCTTTACCCTTAGCTCCCGCCGACAGAGACCGACAGAGAGCCTGGACAGTGCTGGATCCCTGAAAGGCTAGCATCAGTCAGAGAGGACACGAAGGACCTTGGCAGCATGGTCTGACTCTGGGCCATGGGGCTGGGGGAATATGCATTAGACAATCTGGTCACATGTGGGAAGGACTAAATCCATTTCAAGGAAAAGCAGCGATCAGGTGAGACCGAGGGAGCTCTGGTGGTGTAGCCCGTAGCGCATTGCACTGCTTTCTCAAAGATGGTGCTTCTCTGGGAGTTCAAATTCCTCGGCAGCTCCACAGGAGAAAGACATGCAATCTCCTCCTGTGCAATCTACAGCCTTTGAAACCCAGTGGAGGTTCAGTTACGAGTAGGTTCGGACAAGATGGCAAGGAGTTTACCTTTTTTATTTTTTTTTTTTAAGGTGATGCTGAGCCTGAGGGTGAGGCAGGCCAAGGGCAAGGAGGTAGAAAGATGTCTTTTGAGTTTTTAAGTTCTCATTGAGCAAGTATAGGAATCTCTTAAAACAAAAATACTCATGGGTTTTGGGTTGGGTTTTTTTTTCTATTGTTTCCATTAAATAGTATCTTAGAGGATATATTTGTAACATCTATGAATCCAGAAGTCTCCACAACGAATCTGTTCAGAACAACTGTGGAAACGTTTCGTTTACTTCATTCACAGCCCATAGTGACTCATGCTCACTTTTATTTCTGTTCTGTGTTCTCTCCATTTGTCTCCTCCTTCTCCTAACAGCTAAATCAGAATTGACTCATTTACTGACCTTCTGCTTGGGAGGAAATCATCTATCTTTGGGACCACCAGGCCTCCAGAACTCACTGCTAATTCTCTGTTGCTGTTAGGCGCCATTGAGTCGACCACGACTCCCAGGACCCTATGTGAAGCAGATCGGAACCCTGTCCTGTCCTGTGGCATCTTCAACATCACTGCGATCCTTGGGCTGTCGCACCAGCCACTGTGTCAATCCATCTCATTGGGGCTCTTCCTCTTTTTCACTGACTCTCCACCTTTCTGAGCATAATGTACCTCTCCAAGGACTAGGGTATGCAGTATATCTAGAGAATATCTCAACTTTGTTTATTGCTTTAGGTGGAGGTTTAGACCATAATTAGGGGAAACTTTACCTCTGATAAATCCATCAATGAGCTTCAAATTAACTTGCAGGTTGCTAGAAGTTGGATCTAAGGTACAAATATTCTCAACTAAAAATCTGTTAACATACTGTGAACAAAGAACAGAAGAAAAGGTTACAGAGTTACAATTCAGGCAAGTTTGCTGACAATTGAAAATACAGAGCCAAACCAGAGAGTTTCTATCACTCCTATTAAAAGAATTTTAAAACAGGCAAAATCAACCTCTGCTGTTGGAAGCCAGAACGTGGCCATCTGTGGTGCATGTTGGAATGGAGCGAGGCCTAACGAGAAAGGGCAAAAAGGCAGGCATTAGGGATGCTGCTGCTAATCCGCTTCCAGACCTGGGTCTTGAATCCATGAAATTTTCATTGTGTGATAATTCTTGCATTTCTATACCCAGGGTTTATGCAATTATAACTTGTACATTTAAAGTTGTTTTAGTCATTGTTCAATAAAAAAGGTATTTCAGCCATGCTCCTAGGTATTCACTGGGGGTAGATGTGTCAGAGTTAGTGAGACTGACGCAGGATTGGGCAGGGTTCAGAGCTATTGTACACAGGGTCGCTATGAGTTGCAGGTGACTTGATAGCACATAACAACAACATCCAGCTGTTAATGAGTTCAAAACTTTTATCCACCTTAAAACTTCTCTACAAAAGTTTCTAGCAGTTTTATTAATAATTGCCCCACATGAGAAGTCAACACGATATCCTTCAATGAGACGAAGGACAAACTATCCTATATCCATACAATGGAATATTATTGAGGCATAGAAAGAAATGAGCTAACAAACTACAAGGAGACATGGAGGAACTTTAAATGCCTATTGTTAAGTGAAAGAAGCCAATCCAAAAAAGCTGCACTGTGACCACTGTATGATTCTAACTAGATAGCATTCTGAAAAAGGCAAAACAGTATAGATAGTAAAAAGGCCAGTGGTGGCTAGGAGTTGGGAAAAAAGGACGAGGATCAAATAAGTGTGGCCCTGGGGCATTTTTAAGGGCTATGAAGGCATTCTACATTATATTGTAATGGCGGATGAATGACATTGCACATTTATTAAAACTCACAGAAATTTACAAACTAAAGAATGAAATCTAAAGTAAACTGCAGACATTAGTTAAAAATAATAACATAACAAGGTACACTAATTGGTTCTGTACCACTCGAAGAGCCTAATAATTGGAGAAATTGTTTATAGGGTATATGGAAATTCTATACTTTCTGACCAAGATTTCTAAACTAAAAACTGCCCTTAAGAAGGGTATCAGAAGAACGACTTACCAGCTTACACTTTTCCCAATCCTGGAAGTCACTTGAGAATTCCAATTCTGGATGAAAGAACAAGATAACTCCCATCAGGATGTCATGCAGCAGGCTTCTGCTGTCTTCAATCTCCTGCAAACTGTCAGAGTCTTCAGAAGATTCTGGCTGTGCCAGAAGTTTAAAATCATAAAGCAACACTGAGACGAAGTCTTGGGGGTTAAGCTGTCGGATGCTTTCCTGGAGCTCCTGGAGCATGACGCGGAAGAAAAGACTTCCTGCGCGCTGGACTTCCCCTAGATGTTCAATCTCTGGAATAACAGAATGACATCTCACAGTGTGTAGTCACATCTATTACGTTTTCTTTAGGATTCTGAGTATGTTATAGTAAGCAGCTTCCCTTTGCCCCCAGGTATAAGGAGGTCATAGCTTAGGGTTTAAAATAATCTTAGTTCCTTCTACTTACTATCGAATTAAAAGACAAATAACGATGGAATTACATTTGGTGAAGCTTGCAGGAAGAGTTTTAAGGAAAGGAGAAAACTTGGATTTTGGAGGTAGATCTCAGTTTAAAAGCTCACTCTCTATTTTATGAGTTTCTTCATCTCTATAAATTGTCTTTCCCCTTTGTGAGAAGAGGACGGATCTCTGGTGAGTGGTAAGAATGAAATGAGATGATACAGATGATAAGGTGCTACATAATGGATGTTCACTAGGGACACATTTTCATTTTACTGCATTCTGCATCTGGAAGTATTCCTTGGAAAGGGACATCATGCTAGGAATGGTAGGAGGACAGTGAAAGAGGGGAAGACCCTCAACACTATGGATTATAGTGACTTAGTGACTATAGTAATGGACTCACGTGTGTTAGAGATGATGAGGGTGGTAGAGAATAGACCAGAGTTCAGATCTGTGGTTCATAGGGTCGCTATGAGCTGTGCTCAACACGACAGCACAAAACAACACCAACAGGTTGGAAATCTGTCCACTTAATCTCACAAAAATATTACCTTTATTAGGTAACCGAAGGCTTCTACATCTTCTTCCGTTCTTCCTGTTCTTTGCTTTGGTTTTGTGCTAAGAGTAATCTGGAGCATGTGGCATTACAAGAACTGGTCTCTGGTCTTGGCCCACATGCATGTGAAAGTTAGGCAATTAATAAGGAGGACAAAAGAAGAATGGATGCATTTGAATTGTGTTATTGATGAGGAGTACTGGGTAGACCATGAACTGCCAAAAGAACAATGTTGCCTTGGAAGAAATGCAGGCAGAGTACTCCTTAGTAGCAAAAACTGTGAGGCTTTCATCTCACGTGATCTGGGCATGTAATCATCGAGAGGGACCAGTCCTTGGAAAAGGACACCATGCTTGAAAAAGTGGAAGGTCAGTGAAAGGAGAGGAAGATCCTCAATGAAACGGATTAGCACAGCGACTACAAGTGAGCATTAAGTACAGCGGCGAGTGTGAGCCAAGCTCAGGATCAGGCAGGGTTCCTGTCTGTTGTCCACAGGGTCGTCATTAATCAAAATTGACTCGATTAGAGTTCTATACTTTCTCTAGAGTCTTTCTAGCTATAAAATTGTGTGATTCTAACCGAGAGAATGGGATTCCTTCCTCTCTTCTCTATTTTAGAGACCATACTCATCAGCCCAAGACTGCATAAGAAAATTCTCTTCACATGGAAAGATCTATATATGGCAACAATTCATTTTAGAAAATTCATCCTTCGTGGCACTGTCTGTGATCCCTCCCAAGCTTACTGAACCCATGAATCCAGACTGTCTCCAAATCCACCATACCTAAGACATAGCTTTTCTTTATCTCGCCAGATAATTCACCCAGTATTTCAAAGCAAGCAGTCTGGACAACTTTCATCATTTTCTGTAAATCTTTATATTCTCGATACAGCAACATTCTACTCCGGCCAATGTTAAAGTCTATGACTCCCAGAGCCTTTCCTGTTCTCTCACGGATTGGAATTATGATGTGGGTTTTTCCAAAGGCAGAGGTCAAAATAACTTCTGAACTGTCTGTACACTTAAAGAGGAAGTCACTGAAATAAAAACCAAATATAAGCACAGGAATATGAAAATCAGCTTGTTTACACAGTCTATCCAAATGACTGTTATATATCTTATGGCATTGTGTGGTAAGGAGTTGCCTTGCCAACTCAAAGACACGCAGTTCAAATCCACCAGCTGCTCCACAGGAGAAAGATGGGCACTCCCCTCCGAGCAATTTATAGCCTCTGAAAATCTGCTGGAGGGTCAGCTATGAGTCATATATGACTCAAAAACACATAACAACAATACATGCACTTTGAGGTTACAGGAAGCATGAACATTTTTGTAAATATGACAAAGGATTATGTTCTCAATATGTTTTCAGAGGCTATAACATATTGCTCATCATTCTCCCACAGGGCAGCTGGTGGATTCGAACTGTGTGCCTTTGTGTTGGCAGCACAACTCCTTACTGCTGGGCCAACAGAGAAAAATATAATGATTCTACTCCAATTTTTCTCATTCCTTCCTGCTGCTGAGCCATCGCTTTAGATCTAACTTTAGTTTAGCTCCATTGTCCTAAGCTTTCCAAGCATAACAAAAAAGCCAATTGGCCAAACAGAGTTCCACAAAAGGTTTTTGCTCTCAGGTACACACTCTAAGGAATTCAAGGTTATGGATCTGGGCATTGTTACAAGGATGCTTGTAAAATTGTTGACCAGGATGGGGGAGGAGGGAAGGAAAATAGCTTAAAAGTGAGTGAACACTTTGAAGTAGGCCAAATAAAATTTAATGAATTCATATACTTTTTAAATTTTATTTTATTATTTTTTTGTGTGTACCGTCAAATCAGATCTTCTGACTGGTACAGGAGGAGATTGTTCCTCTTTCTCCAGCAGAGCATCTGGTGGATTCGAACCATGCACCTCTTGGATTGCAGTGAAGCTTCTTGCCACTGGGCCACCAGAGCTTGCCTGAACCCATATAATTAAATACTTAACTAGCTTATGTGTGGGGTAGGTAGGGTTACTTACAGTCTATTCAACTACACTGATCTTCCTAAGAAGCAATCTGTATCTTTTGCAATAGGTGTGTTCTCAGGTAAGATCTGTTTTGAGTTTTATAGTTTAGTTGTTGTGTGCCATAGAGTCAGAACTGACCCATAGTTGACCCTCCGGTGAGTTTTCAGAGGCAATTAATCGCACAGGAGAAGACTGTCCATCATTCTCTTGCCTGGAGCAGCTGATGGTCTCGAACTGTGTGCCTTTGGGATTGCAGCACAGCTTCTTGCCACTAGGCCAACTGATCTCCCTTGTAGCTTAGAAGTGCCCCTTAAATTCCATGAGCAAACACGCCATGTTAAGGAATCTAGAGTTAGGTTCTTTTTAATGATGATATTCTCTCAGGCCTTTCTCCTCCTGCCCCCTTTATCTTTTAAAAATATGAAACATAGTGTCACAGGCCATTTAACATTAACAGATGATCTCCAATAAGTGTAAGGGACATTGTTCTTAATCAGATTTGGTTTGGGTTAAATTTCATGTTTAAAAGAAAATCATTGAACGTAAAACACTAGCATGCTTTAAAAAACGTGCTAAGGGGTGGGAGGGGTTTGTGCGGGGAGAAGGGTGCAACAATGAATGAATGGAATTCCAAAATCTCTAGATGTTCATTGAAATGAAAAATAAACAAACTAAATTTTAAACAAAAAAAAACCCCAAAAACGTGCTACTGGGAGCTCTCGTGGCGTAGTGGCAAGAAGTTGCACTGCAATCCCAGAGGTGCACAGTTTGAATCTACCAGACGCTCTGCTGGAGGAGGGACAATCTCCTCCTGTATCTGTCAGAACTGATTTGATGGTATACACACACAAAAATAATAAAATAAAAATAAAATTAAAAAAATTAAAAAGGTGCTATTTTAAAACGAAAATACCAATGACTGTTTTAAATTGAGTTCTGCCGAAGAGGATTACTCTACTCCACGGAGGCAACCATCTACAGAATTTTTCCCTCTTAAACTCTAGTCAGACTACAAGTCAGCATGCATGAATAAGAGGCAGAAGCTGTGTGTGTGTGTCAGACCTGAAACAGTATCACTGGGCCCTGTTTGGCAGTAGGTAGAACAGAACTCTCATACCTGAAGATACATGTCTTCCTCGTGATGGTGGGAGGGTTGGAGTGGATTTCTGTTAGACCCAGGGACTCTGTAATCATCATATTTCGTAAAACATAGTCTGAATTCTTGGAAAGAGGAAAAGATTTCATTACAGAAAGATTGGCTAAAGCTTTGGGGGACACATAAAACAAGAACATCTGACAAACTCTACAGATTATGCCACCCTGGAAAACAAGGTCCTGGATGTTCCTTCTACACCTTGTGACTTAGTATTACACATACCAAACAGATAATTTTTAAAAATCTCACTCTGATTGTGTTCCTCGGTTTAGATCTTACAGTCTAAATAAAATGGTTGCTTTCCTGTCTCCCTCTACTCCAAATTGTAGAAAAAAAATTTCAAGTTACCTTTACCTTTAAGTACATTTTATTCATTCAGTATCATTAAGAGCTATTTATATAAGAAGATATTTCTTAAAAATGAAAATTATTCTAAAACTTACCCTTGTAATTTAACTTTGCACAAACTTACCTATACAACTGTGATAAAGTAATGCATTTACATTCTTTTCTGCTGCTAAAAAGGCGTTTGTGGAAAATACAGAAAATGCAAAGAAATACGTATAATAAGAAACATTCTCCTGTGAGGCCTTTGTTCTCACTCCTTCACAAAACTGTTCTTATCAAGGTTACAAGTGACTCTCTAACTTTAAAATTCACTGGTCAACCTCTTGACAGTGTTTGACCCAGTGAACTTTTCCCTTTGTGGTTATGTTCTTCATATGGCTTTTGGGATCACACTCTGCCACTTCTCATACCTTGCATTTCTTCTCATTCTCCTTACTGCTTCAAACTGTACATCATAATCCATCTCCCTCTCATCGCCATCACACCAGTACTGACTGATAGATCATCCTCCATTACATTTTTGAGGCTGTAAATGGCAACGGAGGAGATTATCCATTCCTCCTCAGGGCTACAGGTGGATTTGAAGTGGCAAGGAGGATTTGAACTGCCTTTGGAGGAGCAGTGCAACTCCCTACACACTATGCCTGAACAGTTCCCTAGTCCGCTTTGCTGTTGTTATGTACAAAGGAGGTGGAACTGACTCAGAGTTGACTACCAAGCAGGTTTTCAGAGGCAGTAAATCACATGGGAGGAGACTGCCTATCTTTCTTCCATGGAGCAGATAGTGGATTTGAATCATGTACCTTTGGGTTGGTAGCACAGTTCTTTACCACCGGGCCACCAGTTAGGCTGTGAAAAAAAATTTTTTTTGAAAATATTTTAATGTGTGAGCAACATTTATTTTGTTTTGTTTTGTTCTAGAAAGTGGTTTATGTATAAGAAAGCAATAGTAAAGTACACTAAACTGTAATGAAGACACGTTCATTTGGGGAAAGTTTTATGCTCCTTCTCTTTAAAACAAACAAACAAAAAACCACAAAAAAGAATTCTTTGATTAAAAGGGGAACTAGGATCACCAGAAGCCTAAAGTGTGGCTTTGAAGATGAACTGCTTTTAATATCAAACTTGTTCTTGCCTTCACATTCTATGATTTCAAGTGTTCGATCAAGCTCTTTAGATTTAAATTTTTTTCCAACAGAATATTTGATAAACTGTAAAGTCAAATTGGCTTTTCTTCATGCTAATGTATTTTTTTTCCATGAGTAACTTGTATTGACAAGCGAATGAAAGAAAAGAAAGAGAAGATGCAAAGAACACATATAAACAAATAAGTGACATTTCAACAGTATGGAAATTCAACAGTGGAAATTAAAAGTACAATAATAGAATGATAAACTATATTCCAATAAATTGCAAAACATGGAAAAAATAGACAATTTTTTTAAAAAGCAAAGTTTTTTGGAAAAAACAATTTTTAAGAAAAAATAAAATTCTAGAAAAAAATTTTCTTGAGAAAGATATTTTTAGGGGGAAAATGTCTAGCACACACAGAGTTAGATTACTTAAGCAAATCCATCACTAAAGAAAATTGAACAAGTCATAAAGATAATCCCAATTAAAAATAAATCCTAGCCCACACAGCTTTTCCAGTGAATTTCACCAAACATTTAGAGAAGACCTGACACTAATTCTACTCAAACGATTTAAAAATATAGAAAAATAATGAATATTCTAAAATTAATTTTATAAAACAAGCATAATCCTGATACTAAAAGCCAGTAAAAGATAGAAATGAAAATTATAAATATCCCTCATTAACATAATTATGAAAATTCTCAACAAAATTCTAGCCAATGGAATCCAATGCCGTATCTAAAAACTATTCATGATGAAGTGAGTTTCATCCAGATTTGTAAGGATAGCCCAACATTAGAAAAACAGTATAATCCACTGTGTAATATACCCTATCAATAAAACAAAGAACCATGTGGATGCAGAGAAGGCATTAAACAAAATTCAACAAACTTTCTTGATAAATAGAAATAGAAGGGGAATGACTCAACGACAATGATTGTATTTGTTATGTGCTATTCAGTTGCTTGTGACTCATAGAGACATACAATTAGCCCTGAAATCTGCTCTACCCTGTGCCAACCTTATTGTCTCTGACAAGTCTACTCCCATTATCTCAGTCACTGAATCAATCCATCTCATCGAGGGTCTTCCTTTCCTGAGCTGTTCTTCCACCCTCCCAAGTATGACGTCCCTCTCCAAGGACTGGTGCCTCCTTATAACATGCCCAAAGTATGTCAGATGAAGCCTCAGAATCCTTGCCTCCAAGGAGCAGCCTTTTCTCACTCTCTCTAGGACTAACGTGTTTGTTCTCCTAGCAGTCCTTGGTATATTCAATACTCTTCTCCAGCACCACAGCTCAAAGGCATCATTTCTTTATCATTCGTAGTCACTGTCCAGCTTTCTGATGCATAGCAAGTAATTGTGAAGACTATGGGCTGGAGCAGGCATACCTTAGTCTCCAGACTGACATTGTTGATCTTCAGTACTCTGGAGAGGTCCTTGACAGCAGACTTTCCCAATGCAATTTGTCTTTTGATTTCCTGGCTGCTGGTACCAAGAATGTTTATTGTGGAGCCCAGTAAACTAAAGTTGTTCACAATTTCATTCTCTGCTCCATCTATCATGTTGCAGCCAGTCAGCCCAGTGGTGAGAATCTTTGTTTTCTTGATGTTGAGCTTCAATCCATATTTAAGGCTACAGTCCTTGACTTTCTGCAGCAAGCACTTCAGGTCCTCCTGAAGATGAAGGTTGTGTCGCCTGCACAACATAGGTTGTTTATGAGTCTTTCTTCAGTCTTGATACCACATCCCAGCCTCCCAGATGATCTGTTCTGCATATAGATTGAAAAGTTATGGAGATAGGACACAACCCTGGCATACACCCTTCCCGATTTTGAATCATGCTGTATTTCCCTGCTCTGTTCTGATGACTGCCTCCTAGTCCAAGTATAGGTTTCACATAAGCACAATCAAGTGTTCTGAGATTTCCATTTTTCTCAGAGTTTGTCATAATTTGTTGTGATCCGCAAAGCATATACATAGGGAGAGATAGTGAGTGAGCGCTGGTGGCCTAGTAGCAAGAAGCTGCATTGCAATTCTGAAGGCACATGATTTGAGGCGATCAGCTGCTCTATGGGAGAAGCACGGGCAATCTGCTCCCATGTGATTAACTGCCCCTCCAAATCCACTGGAGGATCAGCTTTGGATCTGACTCTATGGTACTCTTTGTGAATCAAAATCAGAAAAGGATACCCTTTATCACCACTCCTATTCTTTATTGTGTTGTAAGTCCCAGCCAAAGCAATGAGATAAGAAAGGGAAATAAAAGGCAACTAAACTGATGAAGAGGAAAGATAACTATTTCTACTTAAAGATTATGTTGGTTGTTATTGTTGTTGGGTGACTTTAAGATGAGTATGACCCATAGCAACCCTATGAACAACAGATCTGAACCCGGTCCTATCCTGTGTCATCCTCACACTTCCTGACATACTCAAGCCTATTGCTGCAGTCACTGTGTCAATCCATCTAGCTGAAGGTCCTCCTCTCCTTTGTTGTCCCTCCACGTTTCCAAGCATGTTGTCTCTCTCCAAGGAATAGACTCCTAGCAACATGCCCAAATTACATAAGATGAAACTTCATCACCCTTGCCTCCAAGGAGAATTCTGGCTTCCTCTTCTTCAAGACATATATCTGGTTGTTTGGTTTTGGTGTTTTGTTGGGTTTTTTTTCTTTTCACTCTATGGGATATTCAGTTCTCTTCTCCAACACCACAGTTTAAAGTCATCCTTATTAATTGTCCAGCTTTCAGATGCACTGTAAGTGATTGAAAGTACGATGGCCTGAAATTAGGTGCCCTTTAGTCCTCAAATGGACCTCACTAATCCTAAATACTTTGGCGAGATCTCTGACTGCAGACTTCCCCTAGGCAATATGGTACCAAGGGTGTTGATTGTGGATCCAAGTAAGATGTAGGTGTTGATAGTTTCACTCTTCTCTCCTTCAATCATAATGTTGGTTATCCACCGAGTAGCAAAAATTTTTGTTTTCTTGATGTTGAGATGCAATCCTTGTTGAAGGCTTTATTTATTTATTCCTTCTTGAAGCAGCAAGTACTTCAAGTTCTCCTCACTTTCAGGAAGCAAGGCTGTATCATGTGCATAACAAAGGTTATTAAGGTGATAGAAAAAAGCTATAATAAAAAGTATTATAAAGGATGAGCATTCCTTTAATTGTGATGCCACATTCTTTTTATAGAGTCTAGCTTCCTCCAAATTTGCATACAAATTGAGTAAATACGGAGAAAGGATATAACCCTGACACATCTTTTTTAGTTTTAAACTATGTTTACCATGTTAACCAAGGGGAAACCCTTGCTCTGTTTCCACAACTGCCTCCTGGTCTACGTTTAGGTTTTTCACGAGCACAATTAAGTGTCTGGAATTCCCATTTTTCTCAATATTAACCATAATCTGTTAACATCTACACAGTCAAATGTCTTTTCTAGTCAATAAAACATAAATAGTCATACTTCTGGAAATTTTTACTCTCAACGAGGATCCGTCTGACATCAGCAATGGTACCATGGCCTTTTCTAGATCCAATTTGAACTTCTGGCAGTTTTCTGTCAATGTACTGTTCTA